GGAGTCGGTTACGGTCAAGGAAAGATTAGTACCCTTGAACATCCCTTTCGGTACCAATTAATTTATCGGTTGTCTTTAATTGCGGAGATTAAAAATTTAAATCAAAATTTAAATATCCGATTCGAGTTACTTACCCTTGGTTGACTGGAATTTCTCTAAAAAAGTAAAAACAAATGTTAAATAACAAATAATAAATAAATATTAAGTAAGTCAAAGAAAAAAGGGAAAATAATATATAAAACAAAAATATAAAAAATGTTAATAAAAAAAGTAGGTGAAATTGAGTTAAAAAAAAAGAATGAAGAAATATATAAATAATGAAATAAATAAAATAAAACAAAACAAAAAAAAAAGATTAAAGAATCACACAAAACACCAAACACACAAAATTAGTGATTAAAATGATATTATTATATAATGTAAAGACTGAAAAAAAAGAAATTAATTTACACTTGGGACCAAAATAAAACCCGCGTAAATTCCTGGTCCAGATTCGAAAATATATAAATTGGAGACTAAAATATAAACATGATAAATTCGAATCCCATATTAAAATACGAAAAATTGAATTCAGTGACCAATATATAAATATTAAAAAAGATGATGATCGAAGACGGAGTTTATCCACTCTTGAAATTACACTGAGGTCCCTCCCCAAAACGGCGTCGTTTTGAGGAGGGTATAAACACCCCCAAAATCGGTCATGAAGGCCTTCATCTTTCATTTGCTCACTTTCATTCCTTTCTCTAACAAATGAGAGAAAAATTTTCTCTCATCCTTGTCTAAAGCCCTCTCATTTGAGGGGTGGTCGGCCCCCGCTGGCCACTGTCTGTCACCGTCGATAACCGCCGTCGAAAATAAATGAAACCTCTCCGAATATGCTTCCCGTCACCCCGAAGCCGAATCTAACCACAAAAATACCATACAATGAGTCAAACGCCCTAGATCTAAAAAAAACCCCTCGGTTCCCTTACCTTTTCCGACGACTCCTCGGGCCTCGAAGGTGTTTGGCTCCTCTTGGTTCCGACGCACCACCGATGTACTGGTTTTATATGGTTTCTTGCTTTGTATCTTTGTGAGGTTTTTGTTGATATTTGCTCTGAGTTTTTGGTTGATGTTGTTTGTGTTGATGGTATTGTGATGTTACTGTGGTTGTTGTTTTGTGATGGCTCTATTTTCTGTGTTGATGATGCTATCTGTGGGTTATGTTTTGTGTGATACCGTTGTTCTCGTCGTGGTTTGGTGGGGGTATTTATACCCCCCACCGGTGGTGCACGGTTCCGATCTTCGTGGTAACACTCGTCGTTGACCGGGGATTTCGGGATGGGTCAGTCCCGATTTCCCCGGCCGGAAATAACGCGCCGTTGTGATGTCCCTTGACTGGCTCTCTGTTTCTCTGTTGCGGCGCTTGACTGGGATGTGTGACTAGAGTTTTCAAACCCTAAACTTCAACAGGCTGGGTCAGGCCCAAATCTGATTGGACTGTTATTGGACCGTTTCATTGGACCGAATTTTTGGACCTGGAAAAAAAATAGAAATAAAAATAAGTAATAATAATAATAATAAAGTAATTATATAATATAAATTTTAAAAAGGTCTTAAAAAACTATATACTATATATAAATTTTCAAAAACGTTGTTTTTTTTAAAACTATATAATTTTCAAAAAAAAAATGTTTTTTTAAAAACTATATGATTTTCAAAAATTGTTTTCAAAAATTAGATATTATATAAGTTTTCAAAAATGTTTTTAAAATCTATATATTATTTAAATTTCAAAAAATGTTTTTAAAAACTATATATTATATATTTTGCAAAAATATTTTAAAAACTATATTTTATACGGTTTTCAAAAGTACTTTAAAAACCATATATTATATAATTTTTAAAATGTTTTTAAAAACTATATATTATATACATATTTTCAAACCATTTGCAAACTATATAATATATATGTATATAGAAATATCTAAATTAAAAAGAACGGACGAAAATTAGTGTCTACACATACAAATATGAGTTACTTTCTCAGCTTGGCATTGAAAACAATGCTATGGTAGTAAAATGAACTATTCCTAATTTGCAAACATAATTCATCCATTGAAATACTTCCTGTATTTCCCACTCAACCTTTTCCTCATCCACTAAAAGATGTAATAGTCTTACCACATCATAAGTCAAAATTTTCTTTGCCCTGTTGTATTTTGAAATAACTTGACCTTTTTCTTTCCTCTGTGGTTGGATAATATATTCGACTACTGTTATGTTAACTATATAGGCCATAAACAATTTTATATTTGGAATGGTGATCTGAATTAAGTGGTGGACCATCCTTTGTCTCATATGTTCGAGTGGTTGAGATTTGATAAAATTCTTGTAATATTTGGATCCTTTGATAAGTTGTGAATATACGGTAAGAATGTGTGGACCTTTTTTTTTTGTCGAAACATGCATTAGCTTATATTTTGTAATGGGTAAATTAAGCTTGAGAACTGATATGTTCATATTTTATCTTTAAATAACGTGGGCTGAGCTTTATTCTTGACATCGTGTCTACATGGTGTATATGGCTATCCCATTGAAATCCAAACTCTTTTCTTCATGGCTTTAAGGTGTGCTCTGCTTCTACTCAAGCAATATAATGAAGGAAAGGAGCTCATAGAACGAGTAATTAACCGCCTAAATGCATTAAGCTATAACATGAGAAGTTATTTTTGGCTTGATTTTAAGCAGCTCAATGACATATATCGTTTCAAGACAAAAGGGTACTCTCATACTGAAGTCAACAAGTTTAATGTAATGCCAGACTCTCTTCTAGATTGGATTTTCGATTTCATGCCGGCTCGTGGTGGCTACTTTATCGGTAATGTCAGCCCTGCGGGAATGGATTTCCGATGGTTCTGCTTGGGAAATTGTATCGTGATCCTGTCATCATTGGCGACTCCTGAACAGTCCATTGCAATTATGGATCTTATAGAATCACGCTGGGAAGAGTTGGTTGGAGAAATGCCACTAAAGGTTTGTTATCCAGCCATAGAAACTCATGAATGGTGGATCATAACAGGATGTGATCCCAAAAACACCCGATGGAGATACCACAACGGGGGATCATGGCCAGGTACGCATTGACATATCTTGTAGCTTTATTGAAGTTCATAAAAATACAGGGTGGGGTAAGTTTTTATAAACATAACTCAAATTCTAATTGGTAAAACTTGATGTTAGTTTATATTGTGCGATGATTATGCTTGTTACCACCGTAACCGTCGTTTGATTATAACATACATAGTAGGAATGTTTAGCTGAGATGTTTAGTTTGAAATCCATTTTGACTGCTGCATTTTGTGTCCAGTGCTGTTATGGCTGCTCACAGCTGAGTGTGGGAAGACCGGACGCCCCCAAATAGCGAGACGTGCGATTGAAATAGCTGAGACCAGGCTGCTGATGGACCATTGGACTGAAAATTATGATGGAAAGCTGGGGAGATACATTGGGAAGCAAGCGCGTAAAGCCCAAACCTGATCCATTGCTGGTTATTTGGTAGCAAAGATGTTGTTGGAAGATCCATCTCACCTGGGAATGGTATCAATAGAGCAAGACAGACAAATGAAGCCCATCTTGAAAAGATCAAGTTCATGTACTTTATGATAGCTTCTCTTTGATACGAAACTCCGAACATACGGAGATAATGCCTTTCTGTTTGCTTCTCGCCAACTCATTTTGCTTAACATCTCTTTAAAAACTACCCATGTTTTACTTATTTCTCATCAAACAAGGGACACTATTTTTTGGATACACTACACGGTTGGTCACTCACCTTTTATAAATATTCCGTTTTCACTACTTATGTTATCTATTTTTATATTTTGATCACTAAACTGATAATTGATGTCATATCAATAAAATGAGTTAATTTTTACTTTTGATTTATAAAATTTAGATAAAATATCATTGTATCTCTAAAATTTACATAGCATATCAATTTGACCATTGAAGTAACCGATAGTAATAATAAGTGACGACCAATAACAAAAAAAATTTAAAACTCATATAATAATCTTAATAAAAAGAACTCATATGATAATAATTTTTTCTTTAATTATTATGTGTGTATAAACATGCCATTAATTAATTGTTCTATATTTAGTTTAAGATTATGATTGTAATTTTTTACTACAATTTGAAATATTTTTAAAATAAAATTGACTACATTTATTGAAAAATATAATAAAATATTTTTAAACTTTATACAGTATTCAGTTGACTTGACGTATGATCTCATTAAATTAATACTTATGGTGCTTAATTATTGTGATAGTTATTCGTAAATACATAAATTATACAAATGTAATTGTTATTGTAATTAAAATGGAGAGCAATTTAGGCTATAACCGACATATAAAAAGTTAGGTTATATAATTTATGAATGGGCAAATTCTCCTATCGACATTATAAGTTACATATTTAATATTTATGATTTTATTAAATTTATTAAGTGATCTCAGTAATAAAAGAAAATTGTTCTCCTTAAAAATATTTGTTCAAGTAACTGTATTTACAATGTATGAGTTATCAATATGTTAAAAAATTCTGAATAAATATTATCTTATAAATATCTCATACTATTAAAAAAGATCTTAAAATTTTAACTTATTTAATTTATTTAATATTTTTTTAGTTTTAAAATTGTAACCTAAGCTAAATAATATAAGAAAAATATGATTAAATTATAATGAATTAAAATAATTAAATAAAAATAAAAATTTATATATAATACATAAACTAATATTAAAAAATTATTAAAAAATGATTTGATTCATAACAAAAATTTTAGAATTTAAAAAATTAAAAAAAAAGTGACCAACAAATGTACAAAAACTAAGTCCACAGAACCACAACTTGCGTTTAATGCAGGGACTTTGATAGACTTAAACCACTTATAAATTATAAATAATAATGTCCAGATTTCTCGCCCGTTAAGTGAACACCCACCCGAATCACTTGTCGTTTTCTTAGTCTCAATCGAAGCGATCGAGATCGGAGATTTGAGGAAAGAAAAAAAAAAACCCAAATATTTTTATTTATTTTTCTTTTCTAATAAACGGAAAACTTAGATCAAACTCCCAAATCCTCAATCCAATTTCTTGTAAATCCCTAAAATTTCCCGCAGTTTCTCGGGAAAAAGAATAAAGAAGAGATGAAGACACCGAAACGGCCGATCCATGCGGTATCGATGTGGGTGAGACGACAGCCGCCGAAGGTAAAGGCTTTTTTGGCGGTGGTATCGGGGATGGCTGCGCTGGTTCTTCTCCGATTCATTGTACACGACCACGACAATCTCTTCGTCGCTGCCGAGGCTGTCCACTCCCTCGGAATCTCCGTCCTCATCTATAAACTCACCAAAGAGAAGACTTGTGCTGGTAATTCCAAAAAAAAAAAAAGAGAGAGAGAGAGAAAACTTTAATCTTTTCAACAGTTGATAAATAATTCTATATTTTATTATTGAAATTGTTTTCTATTAGTTTGTAGCTTAAATTTAATACATTATACATGGGTTTTCTTTCCTATCTATATTTAGTAATTTCAAAAACTCGTGACGGGTAATCGCGAAGCTGCAAAATTTTAAAGGTTTTGGTTTGTCAACTATGTGCCCAATGGAAGGATTTTTTTTATTTGCTTTATAGCTGTTTCTAGGTTGAACTTCTGGCTTGATTTCTCGTTTCTTTCGATTGGAATCAATTTTTTTGTTTGGTGACTTCAATTAAATTCTGATATATAAATCTACAGTTTCGTCCTAATTCTTTTCACTTATCATGAAGTGTATGAGTTATGTTGCATTTCATGATACGATATTGATGGTTTTGATTGAATTCTGATGGGTAGAATATATAAGTTATTTTGTGTGGAATGATCTTTCTACGGTGTTTTATCAACTTTCAATAAGGGGTTTCTTCTTGATGCAAAGGGAAGCCCTTTTCTGTTTGTATCACAATTCAATAAATTTTACGAGTTTGCCTTCTTTTTACTTGTGCCTCATTCTATTCCTTTTCGTGATAAAAATATGCAATTTTTATGGTGTTTTCCTTCAATAAGGTGTTTTACTTGTCTCACAATTCAATAAATTTTTATGGTGTTTTCGTGATAAAAATATGCAATTTTGTACCAAAAGGAGCTGCTCTCTCTCTCTCTCTCTCTTCCGATTTTCCTGCAACACCTAATGCTTGCTTGTTATTTAAATTTATTATATCTTCTAATCTTGGTCAGTTGTTTACACAACATAGAGGATTTAATTGATTTACCCCTCAATTTTTGGGTAAGTGTATCTTAACTGAGTGTAGAAAGCCTTTAATCTTTATTGATGAAAATATTGGTTTCATTCAATTATTTGAAAATATTTTTGAATGGTTGCAGGATTATCACTCAAATCCCAAGAACTAACAGCTATCTTTTTAGCTGTTAGGCTGTACTGTAGCCTTGTCATGGAATACGACATACACACCCTACTTGATTTAGCCACGTTGGCTACAACTTTGTGGGTTATTTATATGATCCGTTTCAAACTGAAGTCCAGCTACATGGAAGACAAGGACAACTTCGCGATATATTATGTTGTGAGTTTTTATCAGTCTTATTTGCAGTAATGTGTGCTTTTCTGTCCAACAAATTGTTGGGTTTAGAATTGAATCCTACTGGCTTTATCTCCAGTGTTTCATGTTTTACTTGTCAAGAGATGGTTTTGTTTTCTCCTAAAGCTTATTCTCTCAATATCTTATGCTTATGTAATGTTGATATAGATATCCATGCTTACTGAGGCACATTGCTGCAATATCTGCATACTAGAAAATATAAATCTCCTTTCCTTCAAATCTGTTTCGTAAATAAAAGATCTACTTAGTTTTGACTTGTTTTGTTCTCTTTCTTCTTTTTCATGTGTAGTCTTCTAATTGTCTTCAGTTTTCCTTAGTGCTTGTTTGCTTCCACTTTGAAAGACACCTTATACCTCACTCTTCTTGTTTTGATTCACTAGATTCTATCTTGTAACCAATTAGATTCTCTGTTCCTTGATTAGATTTTTGTAACATATTCTAGAAATAATGCCCTTGCTTTTGAATTTGGACTCAGGTTGCCCCTTGTGCAATACTAGCTCTGTGTATTCACCCAACAACTTCTCATAATCTAGTAAACAGGATTTTCTGGGCATTCTGCGTTTATCTGGAAGCTGTTTCTGTTTTACCTCAGTTGCGAGTGATGCAAAATACTAAGGTTAAAATTACTTGCATGGTAGATATACTTTCATAAGGTTTATAAATTTATCATCTTTAACTCAACTTCTTTTTGTGTTTTCAGATTGTTGAGCCATTTACAGCTCATTATGTATTTGCCTTGGGTGTTGCAAGGTTCTTCAGCTGTGCTCACTGGGTTCTACAGGTTTGATCTTGTGACATTAAGTTGAACGTGATCGGGTTTCAGTTAGTCATGCATTAAATGGATAACAGTCTATTTTATAATTTACCTACTTTGGAAAAAAAATAAATAGACAGCTTTGACCTGCATGATGAAGGATCCTGAAGGTTGGACTGAACGGTTGTCACCTAGAATGAGGCTGGTTGTTGCGTGTAGATGTCAATTTCATTTTCATTAGCCACATTCGGTTTTAACATACGTATTTCTGTGTAGAGGGGAAGCTTTGTATGATACTGGTTCGAGAAATGTTATTGTGAATCATGAGGGTGATAGTTTTAAGATGTTAATCCATTCTCTACTGCTTTCTACAGGTTCTAGACAGCCGAGGACGCCTGCTGGTAGCCTTGGGTTATGGATTGTGGCCTTCTATGGTTCTTATATCGGAAATTGTTCAAACTTTCATTTTAGCAGACTTCTGTTACTATTATATAAAGAGGTCGGTTACAACCTTTGTAATGTGGAACTCAACCTTTGTAATGTGGAACCAAGTATTCTAGTCCGGATATCAGTGTTTTACTTACATAATCATTTATGCTTTTGCAGTGTCTTTGGAGGGCAGCTTGTTCTCCGTCTTCCCTCGGGTGTGGTCTAAGTGAAGATGCTGTTTTTGCTGCGGTTCACGAGGTGGCTGCCGAAAAAAGCATAACTTGGTTAAATATGTGACTTGTCCTTGTTTAAGTTCTGGTTTTTGCTCTCGACACATTTCTTGTGACTGCAAATTAGTGAACTGTTTGTAATTTTCGGGATGCGGAAACTTTGGGCAGATGTTTGTAAGTAAAACATTTCATAGATGGATTAGTGTTTGATGTCAAATGCCTAACCTGCTGCCTATATGAAGTTATTTATTATAGATTATTCCTACATGTGGAGGGTGGAGAAAGTTCTACCTTGCATTATCAAAATTTTCATTCATGGCAAGAGTATTATTTATACATTAAATGTGAATGTCCTAAGTAATTTTTATCGCTAAACGAAGGCTGACAGAACTGGATCATCTGTGGTGCTGTCGATGAAATAGTTCCTTACTGTTGCGTTAAGGTTGCCATTCGGCACCTCAGGAGACGGGTTATACTGGATATGGTTATATTGTAGTGGAGGGTTCTATTGCTAATCCTTTTTGCTCAAATGATCTATGCACCGGTTACCCTCGCATAGAAGATGATGGATCCGTATAACGTAATCTAAACAATTCTTAATCCAAGTGTCCGATGAGTGCTCAATCTGAAAAGGACGGCTGAGCATATAAACCACAATATGTGCATCAAGTTCCACGATCAAGTGCTCAATCTGTAAAGGACGGCTGAGCATATAAGCCACAATAAGTGCATCAAGTTCCACAATCAATCACGACAACCCGATTTCATTAGGTAAACAGACCTTACCGAACTCACCGAAGCTCTGCATTCACGCTATCGATAAACCCAAACTCCATCATAAAGCCTCGAATCCAAGCTCAGCTGCCGAAAGAGCCATCATCAGAATTGAGCAACATTACTCCCAGCGATGGTTTATTCCAGCCGACCCAATGAGACCCTCTAGCTATTGGAGTCACTTCTAAAAGTGTCAATATAATGAGTAATATTATTTGGGCATAATGTTAAAAAAACACCCTAACATTATATTAAATAGTTATTCTGATTTTTATTCTAGTTTAGAGCATTTTGACACCGTTTTACTACCTAACAAAGTATTAACTACTTGGCATACATGATGCCTAACTGTCCACAACTGCTTCCCTGTTCCCATTATCTACTACTTTATAGGATCTTAGACTAATATTCTAGGCTATTCATTATAAATATCTTAGGAGTTGTTCTTAGTGTTACGATTATTATTTGAGTATCTAGAATTATTTGCTGTATTAGTGTTGAAGATTCTTGCACGACTACTTGTAATCTAAATTATTGTTTTGTTTTCATCATTTCTTTCCTTGGCTCTAGCAATTCGGGTCACTTCCGAATGTGGCACGCTGGACAACCTGAGTTTCGGAAGCACAAGAACGAAAAACATTCCCCATGGTACCTGAACAGAAGATGAAGTTAAAATTCTTTTGCAACCAAATATGAAAATATTGATTTGTGTCAGAAGCCATAAGAAACGACATATTCGATCGGGGCACATATAACTAACCATATCCACCAGATATTAACATAGTTCGGGTTGTGAAATTCGGATAAGGTCTTTCCTACTTTACACCATAAAATTCTTCAGCTGTACTTTATTTAAGGGATTACCTAAAAAAGGTGTAGTAATTTAAATGATTTTTTTTAAATATATTACATGAAATGAAACCAAGTTTTTTGTGAAGAAAAGAAATTACGTCGGCTAATTTGAAATGAACATGATCCCATAACTGTGGGGATTTGATCTGTACTGATATTGAAGTTCATGCAAATATCCAACCGACAATATCGAAGTCAAATGCCCCAGCCTAGCAGCCACATAAAGAAATAGATCAATCGCACTACTTCTCAACCTCAATCTCTTTTAAAAATTCAACACGCATGATTTGCAAGTAATATAATAAGTATCTAACTGGAAATGCCAAACTCACAAGCATAAGATTAATTATAAAATTTATAAGTTATGGAGTGCGTATCAAAATATCTTCTGTAAATGTTACTGTAGCACCAGGATGAAGGAACTTTGGAATTAAAATGAATATAATAATATATATAGCAGCCAATATATTTTAACTTTCTTCTTGTTCAAACTCATGAATCCATGCCTATATATATATGGATTACAACATGTAGTTTCATGCAGCAAACGCATACATTTAACACAGAAAAGGGTTTCAGCCGGTAGAGTTGAATGAAAAAGATGGCAGGAAATGGGATTGTTGCAGATGAAGAAAACATCTATAATGACTCTAAAGTCCAGCCTCTTGCCTTTACTCCAACGTAATTATGCACACAGTGTCATTTACTTCGTTTTGAGGCCTGAATTATGCTCAAGTTAGGTTGAAGTTTGTTTCATTTTTGCAGGCCAGGGAAATTTAAGGAAGAACCCGAGGCAAAAGTCCCATTATCGACCAAGTTGTTAGGCCTTGAAGAGCTTTCCTCCTTGGAGGTTAGTGCTTGAATTCCCAGATATTAATTGTCGTTAAATTTTGAGTTGCCATGCATTGTTTAACAGTGTTGGATCATAGGTATGGAGGGCTTCTTTGGCAGAGCTTCTTGGCACAGCGGTGCTGGTTTTCGCATTGGACACCATTGTTATCTCCACATTGCAGACCGAAACAAAGGTACCCAACCTTGTCATGTCGGTCTTGATTGCCTTTGTCGTTGCGGTTCTCCTCTTAGCTACTTACCCCATCTCTGGCGGCCATATCAATCCGATTGTTACATTTGCTGCATTGCATACTGGCCTGGTTTCGGTTTCGAAAGCCGCCATATACATTTTGGCTCAATCTGTTGGAGGCATACTAGGTTCACTTGCACTCAAAGCCGTGGTTAACAGCGGCATCGAACGAACGTATTCTCTAGCAGGGTGCACGGTGACGGTTGTTGTACCAGGCGAACATGGTCCAACTGTGATCGGCCTGGGGACAAGCCAGGCCCTTTGGCTTGAGATAATATGTGCCTTTGTGTTTCTTTTTGCTTCAGTATGGATGGCTTTTGATGGTCGCCAAGCTAAGGCTGTGGGGCGAGTACAAATCTGTGTTATATTGGGAATAGTGTTGGGTCTTTTAGTGTACATTTCAACTGCGGTTACTGCAACAAAAGGTTACGGCGGTGCAGGGCTGAACCCGGCTCGATGTTTCGGTCCAGCTTTTGTTAGAGGAGGCCACCTTTGGAACGGACACTGGATATTTTGGATTGGACCGGCCATTGGGTGCGTCGCTTTTGCTCTATATGTTAAAATGATTCCACGTGAGCATACTCACATCTACTGATTAAACGAACAAACATTGTTCGTAGCTTATCCCGGAATATTTTGCATTGAAAATGTAATAATAAAATATCAGGAGGCCTATTTTAGCTGATTATATTAGCTTTCAAGGAGACAAGTTGCTTTCATCTTACTTGCAAGTTCAAGTTATTGTAATAATAGAGTAATTTATTTCATTGGCAGAACCCATTGTACTTAAGCTGTTACTGGCATTTGTAAGAGATATGGTATATGTTGTTTAAACTTGCACACTCCTACTTCATTTGGTTGCTAATTTGTGTCATTGGATTTGGTTTGAGTCTTGTTTTGATTGGTTTCTACTTGTTCAATTTGAGTCACTTAGGAAAGTGTCAATATAATATAATGAGTAATATTAATTAGGGTAAACTATAACATGACCACCTAACTATTTAGCCATTTCACTTTTACCACCAATTTTTGAATTTTATCAATCAAACCACTTAACTATTTAATTGTATTCAATCAAGCCACTTGCCGTTAATATCTTATGGTAGTTAATAAAATCGGTATAATTATAGATTTAATCCTCAATACTAATACATTCTATCAATTTGGTCCTAAAATAAATTTAATCTACCAATTAGATGGTGACATATATCACCATTAGATTAAATATTTTTCTATAATATAATTTATATATTTATCTTCCAACCAGAAAGGAAAATCAAATAGGAAATAAAGAAAGTAGAACAAAGGAGGCATGTAGGGAATCAAACTTGGAACCTCATGAAAGATTTGCCCACACCTCACCACTGTGTTCTTATTTACACAATACCATATATATTTTAGTTAATGTCAAAAAAAAAAAAAAGAAGAAGAGAAATAAGCCCATAGTGAGAATTGAGCATAGATTTTTTATTTATTATAAATTGGTTTATACAATATTAAAATAAAAATTAAATTTTAAGAGTTATATATTTTTAAAATAAATTTAGTATTTTTCACATTTATAATTCAAGGATTATATATAATTTCAAATCGAATCATTTTAATTTAATTAATATTTTTATTATTTATTAAAAGTTAATATTTTAATTACTTTTAATAAATAATAAAAATATTAATTAATTTAAAAAGATTCGATTTGAAATTATATATAATCCTTGAATTATAAATGTGAAAAATAAAATATTAAATTTATTTTAAAAATATATAACTCTTAAATTTAATTTTTATTTTAATATTGTATAAATTAATTTTTATAGCCACATTTTATTTTTCTCTCCTATTGCTTGTCATGACAGCCTAAAAATCTTTGGGAAAACAACACTTGGATATGAAGCATGTTGCAACCGTGAGAGCGATGACCCATGATCAGTTAGGCGTCATCTTAGCAATTTAGATCGAACTTGAGAATGATGTTTTATTTTGTTAAGATATTGTTTTTATTTTATGTTGAGATGTTAAACTTGGATATTTTATTTTGAATATATTTTATGAATTTCATGTTTATTCACTTTGTCTTAGTATTATTGATTGGTATTGTTTGAGTTTAATTTTCAGTTTGTTTGTAGAGATATAAACTGCCTAGTAATGCTGCTAGATTAAGTTACATCATGAATAACATCAACATATGTGAGAACAACATTTAGCATAAAAGAGATTTTTGCTGATTATTTTGCCTTAGCGTTCTTAGTACGTTTATTTGAGTTGCTATAGAGATATAGTCCTTGTAAGTTGTTGGTGAATATCTTCGAGAGAAGAATAACCTTCTAAGTTATTGCTAGACACATCAATCATAATGCTACAACATTGTTAATTGCATGCTACTATTTGACATCCCACAATCTTTTGCCTAAATTGATAATTGTTTCATTTACCTGTTTTGTAATCCCATTTATTTTATTATGTTTTCTATTACATTACTACAACATTGTTCAGTACATCAACTACACATAATTTAACGTTTGATGCATAACAATTCTGCGAAGTAATATTAATCTTTGTGAACATGATGTTTGACGCATTTGTTGCATCACTTTTACTACCTGATAAACGATAGTGTATGCGGAGCAATATATGCCCTGTAGTTCACTACGAATATGAATTCTTGAACTGCTCGGTCTTTATAATTTCCTTGGTATCTCAAATAATAGACAAATCATAGGGTTATGGGTGCCTATTGTCAGTAAACAAACCGTGATTCTGAGAGGACCCTCCATGCAAAAGCTCGCATGGGTTATTTCACACATTCTGATCTGTAAGTACTTAGCAAAGATTTAAATAAATGTATGTTATTAGAATAAAAACCGTTTTACGACAGTCATAGTGTCTTCCGAAATTATTATTATATTATTAAAATATTTGATCAGCGGTAATAGCATCCTTAAACCTGCAATTGTGTTAAATGCAATAAAGAACGCAGTCGTAATTATAACATAAATCCCATATAATTTGGTTTGAAATCAGCAGATTTACACTAGAGATAGAGAAAAAGGAGCATTGAGCAAAGTAAAGAAAAACATTTGGACGCGCTGCTTGTGGGTGTGACAGAGTAGAATCATGTCATTTTGAAGTTGCCAGGTCATATCTGTTGTACTTTTGTTCACCCCGTAGTGCTTTGTACATACTTCATACCTGTCATCCAGTTCCCGGAAAGCATGAAAAAAAGGATTGATTGACTGACACTTCTACTTGCTTAACCTGTGCTGGAAAGCACTTATCTACTCCTCAAATTTCCTTTTTTTTTTAATCAAAGGGGTCCATCATATATCTTGCAAATCAAACAATAATATATTTGTTTGCTGTTCATTTTTTGTACTGTATAAAAAAGTTAATGAGATTGCTTCTTTGGATTCAGAAACAAAGAATTTCATGAGCTGGTATCTACATTTACAAATTTTCATATTTCTACAATGGAAACCAAAGCCATAAGTTTCTAGCTAAAGTCTTGTGGGATTTAAGCAAGCATGCAACCGAGAAGTGAGATGAACAAAGGCATCTGCGTCGCAGGGAATGGTGAGACCGCCCATGGGATGATTAAACCCGAACTCTTCCTCGGCTCGGTTGAGCAAATCTAGGAAAGAAGGGTGGTTCAAGTACCAAATCGGAACCACAAATCTCGTCTTCTCGATTTCTCCGACGTAGACTGCAATATGGCCTTTTGGAACATCTCTTTGGCTCTTGGACTGCAGTTTCAGAACTTGCTTGGCATGTTGAATCACCGATGGTAAATGGATACCCATAGCTGATCTTTAATCGAAGAGTCAAAAAGCTTTGAGCTTGATGACGATGATGATGATGAAATTGGGTTTTGGTTGATGGGCACTGAAATGATCTGGTTTTCCAGGCTGAAAGTCTCTTGCTTTGGTGTTTGTATTTATAGGCAGCCAGGTCTTTGAAAATATCAGATTGCATGCAATTCCATTGGTATTCGTTTGAAATATGACCCACATGGCTACATCTGATACCTTCTTCATTTTAAGGCTCACATGGCCTTTGTCCAAAATGATTGACTATATTAATCAATTATTTATCCTAAAATAATTATAATGCATAAATTAATCATTAAAATTTAGTAAAATAGGATAAGGGTAAATTACATATTTGGTACCTTAACTTTATTCTCTCTCCTATTTTATTCATTACACTTTCAATCTTTTCAATTTTTTTACTGAACTTAATATATTGAGTTTTTTGGTCACTCGATTGTTTTCTCACTAATGACATTATAAATTAGCTTTTATATAGAGGCAAAAGACGTCGTTTTGTTGAAAATTTTGATTTTTAAAACTGTGTTGTTTTAACGTCGTTAACTTTTTAACAGTTGAGTGACTAAAAAACTCAATATATTAAGTTCAGTGAAGAATTGAAAAAATTTAAAGTTCAATTACCAAAATAGGAGAGATAGTAAAATTTAATGATGAAATTTATAATTTACCCATAAGATAAAAGGTTAAAAGAGAGCGGATCTCTAAAATAATGACATTCTCTTTTAAGCATTAAAATCATTTGATTAATTCTAGTTATTAGAATGGTTAAACTATAAATAATTAAATACAAATATAATTAATAAATTTGAATTATTGACACATTTGGTATTGTTTTAGTTTTGGGAACTATGGAATACTAAAATTTATATTCGAAGAAGTAAAAAATATTAATTTTTGAATGATTAAAGGATATAATTAAGGAGGGAAGGTCCTCTAAAATTGATTATTAATAGATATTATATGATTGGAGTGATAATAACAAGGGAATTTCCATTCTTTGTGCGCAATTATTTGGTAAGGCACATGGGGTGATTGATCAAATCTCACGCTGCCAGTCAACAGCACTGATTTTTTTAATAAATTTGTCATCTTTTTATGGAAATAGGATCCTGGGGGAAAATTGCAGATCTCCAAGCTACCAACTTGATGGAGCTTTGGATCTTGAACAACTGTATGAGAACATGACCAAGATAGTGGGGGAATATCTCTTTCTACGAGAAAAGGTATACTAAATGAGTAATTATATTGTACTACAGTCTTAATATACGGTTAAAGAAATATCTTATCGAAATTATTAATATTCTTTTAAAATTTCTATTAAAATGCTACTTAAGACATTATTTTTTTACCGGAAATATTAATTTCGTTAACTAATTTTCGATAAAACCCAATATTAACATTTTTGGTAGAAAAAATAATATTTTATGTAACGCTTTATCTAAAAGGTTAAATATTTTAAGTACACACAATGTTAACATTTTTGGTAGAAAATAATATTTTAAGTAGCACTTTACCGGAAATTTTTTAAAAAATATTAACATTTCTGGTAGCGTATTTTTTTAACTGTATATTAAGGCTGCCGTACTTGAGACATTCCGTGCTACATACGCCTATTTATTTCCAATTGTTTTTTTTCTTAATCCAAATATTAACATTTGATTTGGAATAATATTTAATTTGTTTGTACATAGGATTTATAAGAATAAAATCGTTATAATTTAGATTAAGACTTTATTTGTGTCATGTTCATACCTACTATATATTCTCAAACGGTTATTAAAATACAATATACTTTGATAACAGTTTGATTTGTACTAAGAAAATAGTCGCATTGTATAGTGACATGAATAGATTGAAGGAATGTGTGGGTGGAGTTGCATTTCTTGACATTTATAAATCTTTGTATAATTTAGATATTTCGATGATTTAATTTTACATTTTTGAAATTTTGTAATTTCACATTCTCTAAATATTTAATATAGTTTTCAAAATTTATACTTCTTACATAAACTTATGTTTTAGTCTTATATAATAATATCAATTTTTTATTAAATCTTTTGAATTTTTTAAAAATTAATTATATATTTCCTAAAAATATTTCAATAAATCTCTCAAAATATTTGAAACTTTGAAACCTCTAAAAAAATTATTTATTTTTATTAAATCCCCACCACCTGATACTCACTACAATATCCATTTTCTTTATAGAACAACTTATAAATATTAGAAGACAGAGTGACTAAAATGAAATTTTATGTTAGAATTTATTTATATGTCATTCAAAGTGAAATCTAAAATCCATTTATAAAGATTTCATGTACATTCGTACCACATAATTATCTAAACTTAGTTTTCTGTTATTTTCAGTAAAATAATAATAATAATAATAATAATAATAATAATAATAATAATAATAATAATAATAATAATAATAATAATAATAATAATAATAATAAAATCATTTAAATGTATCACAACTCTTTAATTATTATTTTTTAGAGATATCATAACTCTTTATTAATAATTAATAGATATAACATTTACAAACAACTACTAGATTTAGTGAGACGAATTATTAGATTTCTTATGTGAAGTCAATGGTTCGAATCCTGATAATTGTGAATGAAACAAATTAGACTGGGAGGGTCGCCTTCATAGTGAGCATCTGCAAAACTCAAAATAAATTAATCAATCAATATATTAGATACATATAATTAATTAAAAAGTAGATACAACATTTAATAACTAATCACTTATAGCTTTTAATGGGTTAATAATCTAGATGGCACCTAATTTCTAAGGTGTTTTCATTTTGATCATTAAAAAGTCCTTTTAATTTAGTTATCTTCGCTAGAGAAATTATTTATTTTAATCACCCAATTATTGAACCCCTGGTAGCATTAGTGATAAACTATCCAATTTATCACCTAAATTTTAGGACGCTTTCATTTTAGTCACAATTTTTAGTATATATTTTAATCTCTCAACCATTAAATCTCCAAATATATGGTGTCATGACATTTGATCAAATAAAATTCACTTTGATCCGTCACATTACTTTTATCCATATTTAATTAGACCTTTTGCCTAACAAACCTCATCACATGCTCCAATCAAACCATTTCACCATTCAAACCATTAAAACTATCAAAATTCCGTCCACAAACCCCTCTATTGAGTACTGATATTGTGATATTTCAAGTTAGGATAATAGTCGATGGGATTAGCTTGGGAAAGAGGCTAATAAGAGGTTGAAGTTTGGTCAAAATAGATTTACCGTGATAGGTTAAAGTAAGTTTATCTATTAAAAATCACTTCAACATCTATTAATTTTTTTTTTCAATTGAATGACTAAAAATAAAAAATTAAATTTGGCGACTAAAATGAAAGTATTTTAAAAATTGAGTGTCTAACGAAATAATTTTACCAATAATAACATTAAAAATTTAACGCATTAAATAAACAACCTTCATAACAACTATGATTAAATTAAAAAGATTTTAATGAAAATAAACACATTTGAAAGGTATTTTACATATAAGGTTACTAATAATATATTATTCTAATTCATTTTTAAGTTACTAATATCAATGTCAACTTACATATAAGGTTATTTTACATTTAGTTACAGGCACAAAATATTTAAGTATTTTCTTTTAAAAATTTACACTATTAAATTAAAATAAATTTAAATCATATCTCAAGACTCAGTTTATCAATGTCTAATTAAATCAGGAATTTAATCAATAAACGAATGAAAAAGGGATATTTAGATGGTCAAGAACTTTAATTTGTTAATGTGTTCAATATTTACACTTTGAGCTCCCAGGAAAAATAAAATAAAAGAAACAAAGCTTGACAAAAATTTGGGAAAGTACAGCTTCCTATATCCATCATCATCGTTCATGAGGACTGCAAGCATGCAACTTAGACGTTAGACTGATGAAAGCGTCTTCTTGCACGGAATCGTGAGGCCGCCCATCGGATGATTGAAACCGAACTCTTCCTCAGCACGGTTAAGCAGTATGGAGAAAGAAGGATGGTTCAAATACGAAATCGGGACGACGAAACGTTTCCGTTGCGCCTCTCCGACATAAACCGCTACATGTCCCTTGGGAACATCGGATTGCTTCCGAGATGTCGTAACCGTTTTTCGGCTGGGACAATCGTTTAATTGTTTTAAAAATAGTTACGACTTTTAATTTTGGAAAATTGGTGATTTTGGAGTAATTTGAAATAAATTAAAAAGAATTAAAAAGAGTCGCCATCAACCTTTGGGTTAGGTAGGTCGAATACCTAAAAACGTCTTTTAAAAACAATTTTAGAAAAATCATTTTTTAAGACAAAAGCTGGCCTGCGTTTACCAAGATTCGTTTAAAACGAGTTCGGGAGTCGGTTACGCGTGGGGAAGGATTAGCACCCCCACAGCGCCCAAAATTAGTACTGTTTCGCTTACACGTTGTCGTAAATGGTGAAAATCATGAATTAAATATAAAATTAAATTATGATCCATTTATTGAATATTAATTAATTTGCTTGATTAATAACTTGAAGGAGTAAATTCAAAAGGACTGAAATGAATATAAATGAATATTACAATCCTAAATACAAATAGAAAACATAAGTATTTAAATTTATAAGACCAATAGAAAGAAAAAACTTTAAGGATTGAAATAGAAAAAATAGAAAATTAAAGGACTAAAATGATATAAACGAAAACTTTAAGTCCTAAAATAGTAATTACCAAAGTTTAAAAGTTCAAAATAATAAAAAAATTCTAAGGATTAAAATGAAACATTTACTCATGCTAAAACTTAAACCATAACTTTCAAAAAGTAATAATAATTAATAATTTTAGTCGAAGCTAAATCCATTTACATAAATAAAGAATAACGTGAAATCAAGAAAAGAATGAAAATTACGGTCATGTTGCAAATGTTAAATATAAAAAAATAGAATTGTCACATGCAAGCATAATATTCATTCTAAACCAAGTATCTGCTCACGGATTAAACAGAGCACTACAGTTAAAATTGTCATTAATCATGCACTCTGCCC